TGCCGGGAGCGGCGCCGCGGGCACCCTGGGGCGCGCAGTCTGCGGGCCGCCCTCCGGGGGGGTAGTCAAGTGGCCGCCTGCGTCGCCTTTTAAGGCTTAGGAGGGCCACGCTAGATCCACCTGGTGGGGAGAGAATGCAAAACGCCGGGCCCAGAAAGCCCAGCAGGTTTCCTCCTCCTTGAGGGCAGGGCGGAAGGAAGGAGTCGGCCACCTCCCCTTTCGGGTTCCATTCAGACAGAGAGCAAGAGGCGGCTTTCACGGTGCTTCTCCTTTAAGAGGAGGCGGGGCGCAGCCTGCCGTTTGGCCGCTCCCCGCACCCTCCCCCACAGCCCTGAGTGGACGGACCAATCGCTCAAGCGCCTGAGGGAAGGCGGGAGAATGTGAACCCTTCGGTCGGGCGGTAGGGGCGGGCCCCGATCCATATTAGGAATGAGTCCTGCGCAGGCGCAGAGGCGGCTGCGGCCGAAGGGGCGGGGGCTGTCCGGCGAGACTCCCCGTCAGGCACCGAGGGCGATTGGGGGAAAAGCGGGCCGCCAGGAGCTTGTCATGGGGATCCTAACTACGAGACGGCTTCAGTAGCATCTGGAGACGCCTAGGGGGACAAGAAGTATCACCGCCCGGGACTCCGGCCCCAGCTCTGCGGGGGGATCCCTGCTGCTCCGGTCCTGCGGAGGGAGGGGAGAAAAGAGGGAGCAGTGATCTCGCCCCGCCCCTGGGCTTGTTACCGCGGGGGCGGGGAGTGAGGGCTGCTTTTGGGGGGAGTGGAGATCGGGGACTCGACTGTGCCCTCCGGAGCGACTACCGGTGTCCCTGCGGCGCCGGACTGGTGCGCCGAGGGTCCGCGGCGGCTGTCGCTGTTGCATGTGTGGCTGCTGGATGCGGAGGCGGCGGCGGCGGCGGCGGCGAGGAGCAGCAGCAGCGGCGGCAGGATGTTAGGGCAGCAGCAGCAGCAGCAGCAACTGTACTCGTCGGCCGCACTCCTGTCCGGGGAGCGGAGCCGGCTCCTCACCTGCTACGTGCAGGACTACCTCGAGTGCGTGGAGTCGCTGCCCCACGACATGCAGAGGAACGTGTCTGTGCTGCGAGAGCTGGACAACAAATATCAAGGTAGATGGCCGCGGGACTGCCGGCGCAGGTCCTTCCCGTCGCCGGGAAAGCCGGCCTCCGGGCGCGATCGCTCGCAGCCTGCCCCGCGAAGTACCACTTTCCCTTTCCCCTGTGACAGCGTCTGCGAGTGCACTGTTGGGGTCTGGCGTGTGGAAAGGGGCGCAGGGACTTGAGGACCGGGTTCGTGGCCCTCCCTTTTTCCCTGATGCGATCGGAGTGGACTTCTGTTGGGTCTCAAGGGTGGAGGTGGAGGCCTCGCGTCAGCCCCCGCTGCAGACCCAGCAGCTGCAGCTGCTGTGAAGTGGAATCAGCCATTTTAAGCAGCAAGCATTTGTCCCGGCTCTTGCCTGCCCCGCGGGGGAATGTGCAGTCGGGCACGGGGCCGGGCGGAGGAAGCAGTCGGCCACAGCCCGGCCCCTGCTAGTGTCCGTGGCCTGGCTTTCTCGGCGGTCCACCTCTCTGGGCCCCCTCCTCTGGCGAGTAGATGCATTGGGACGTGCAGGGGGGAGGGGGCGAAGGAGGGCCGCGAAGGCGGACGCCAGGGAGGCCCGCCCCTCCACTCCTTGGTTTTCTGGCCCTGGACTCCGGGAGAGAGGACTCCGGTCCCCTCTTTTGCCCTAGGGAAAGTTCTGGCCGCCCGAACTGCAATCTTTTCAAGCTTCTTATAACAAATAATTGGGGCGGGGGGGGAGTCGCCTGCTCAGGGAAAGACTAAGGAGAGGTGAGGGTGCGTATGTGTGGGTGGGTGGCGCGGAGGGCCTCCTGGCCCCTGTGGGCGGGGCCTGCAGTGGTGACGTAGATGTGGGCGGGGCGTGGAGCGCGCGCTCCTGCTGCCCACAAAAATGGCTGGTCACTCGAGGGCTCCGGCGGAGCTCGCTGACTGGGAGGGCTGGAGGGATCAGCCCCTCCGCCCGGGCAAAGTCAATGTGGGGTTTTAGAACGTGATATGATCTGGAAATCTCCTTGACTGTAGAGTGGGACACAGCTGCCGGCACGGTCGCTGACCTTAGTATGGCGTAGGTCCGGCTGTGCGTCACTTCCGGGTTCCCGGAGGAAATGAGTTGGTTGACTGGGCAACCGCCTGGCGTCCCTTCGGCTCTTGGTCTCCGCTCTAAGTTTACCTGAGGAAGCGACCACCGTTGGTGGTCAGGCCCGAGGAGCTGCGACGGAGACGCCACCTTTGTTACAAAATAACGTTTCTCACTCGCTGTTGGCGGTCCCATCGCCTGGTAGTAAGAAAAAAGTTTAAATGTGAAGCTAATTTAACCTTAAACCCAAGAACAGATCTTTTTACATAATGGAAAAGCCGCTGTACAGACTTTAAAGATAATTCTTAGACCCAGTCTCCGATTTTATTAACAAGTGGCTAATTATGTGGTTGAGTGTGTGGAGGACCGGAGCCCACGTCTGAGATGACATTTTCTGGTCTTTCGAAGGTTGCCATGCACGGGCATCCACTCGGTGGCAGTTGGTGTGCACCCCGGTGGTGCTGTGGATTAGGCTGCTAACCACAAGGTGGGGGTGCGCAGCCCACGAGAATGTTGGGGTGGTCCTTCGTTAAAAGAGTCACAGCCTTGTCTAGAGCGGCCGTAAGTCGGAATTGACTCGGTGGCAGTGAGATTTCTGAGTTAACCCCTGTCTAGAGGCGCTATAGGTCGGATCAACTCCATGGCCCCGGGTTTGGCTTTAGTTTTCGGAGCCCCATGTGGCTGGTAGGATTTATCTCTGCTAAGGAATACGGGAATGTGCACTGATTGTTTATCATGGGCCCATTGCTGTGCCAGATCCAGAACATTTTATTACTTAGAGTATACTCGGGAAGTAAAATAGACGCTATTGATAAATTAGTTTTACAAGGAGCTTAAGTAACTTGCCCAATTAATTAATTGGTAAGATAATTGACTTATAAGTGTGGCTACTTCAGGTGCATACATCCTTGTTTTCAAATTTTAAAAATTAGTGATAAAAAGATATTTCCTACAGACACAGAAGATGTATGCATATGGTAACCTCAAAATGATACTTGTGCTTAAGAATTGTAAATTGACCATTTTCAGTTTTTCAAACGATAACAACTGATGATTGTAAAGCTGGCATGAGTTTACATTAATTAAAACCACGAGAGTTCAGGTATTTTTCATTTGAGGTTGGAGAAGGCTGCTCAGATTTGTTGACTGTGTGGTCTGCCATCTTGACCTCAAAAGCTGTCGTTGTCGAGCAGGTTACGCGTTGGGCTACAATCTGCAAGGTTGGCGTTCAAACCACAGAACGAGGGGGCTTTCTCCCTCTAACAGTTACAGTCTGGGACACTCACTGGGCAGTTCTGCCCTGTCCTCTGGGGCTCACTTTGAGTCAAAGTTGACTCAATGGCAGTGAATTTGGTTCTGGAGTCTGGTAACATGAGAAGTAAGTAGTAAGTAGTAGGCCTTACAACATTGAGAAAGTATAAAAAAGTAATCACTTGTTCAAGTAATTTCAAGATCAGTAAAAAAGCAATTACTGTAAGAGTATCAGAATTCACTCTATTCATGTGCTCACTAAGCTCAACTTCATAGTTTTATTTTTTTTAAGTTTATACATTTTTTGTTCGTGGTTAAGATTTCTTTTTTTCCCCCAACAGTTTTATTGGCACATAATTTACATATCATACAATTCAGTCGTTCAGTCATATCAAGGGGCATTGTACAGTCACCACCACATCGATCTTTAAAGCAACCCCCACCCCACCCACCGTGGTAAAATCGCCTTTAAAATGATTTGTACAATCACAATTCATTCTATTGCTCCCACTCCCCTCCAGCCTTCATTGTTTACTCCCGAAATGGCCTGTCCCTCCTTATTGCCCACCTCAGCCCCTGCATACCCTGTAATCCCTTGTCTCAGTTATTCTCATCCACTCCTCAAGTGCTGGGACACCCAACAGAAAACAATAGAAAACAAAATTACACTAAGGTGCTAAGGTTAAAATCATAACAGTGTAAAGACAGAAATACAAATAATGTGTACGAAGGAAATGACCCCCGTTAACATTTAAAGAGCCAAGGAGGAACAAGTAAGAGATATTTGCCCCCAGTACAAATTCAGGTTATGTCTATAGGGAGGTTGGTTTAGATTTCATAAAGTTGTTATTTCATATTTTCTGTTCTTGGCTCTAACACAGAAATCTCTTTATAATACAGATTTTATAGACAAATTTCTTTCCCACCTATTTGATACATTTTTAAAAATCAATGAAGAACCTCTAAGAGAGAGAAAAAAGAATACAACAATCTCATCAATGAGGTATTTATTTTGGAATATGGCTATTAGAATTTTAGTGCGAATATTTCATTCATAATTTTGTAGGTAAATAGCAACCTGTGAGTTAAAATTTTATTAATATTCAGTTTATATTAAAATTTAACCAAAAATGCATAAAATAGGAAATTAGACAACATTGTTCAGGTGGAATTCAAAGTTTGATGATTCTACCTCTTGAGCTTTAGTTTCTTCTCGTGTGAAAGTAGCGGCTTTCTCGTCGAGGGGTTGCTGTGGGGATTAAATCAGAAAATCTATACCACCTACGAGGGGCTTAATGTCAATTTCCGTTCTTCTATATAATTAAGGTCTCTTAAAATAAAAATTTTAATCTCATGTACTATCAGTGTGCTGGTACATGTGTTATCACTAGCTTTTACTACCTCCTGATGATTCAATACAGATATTTGGAGGGAGGCTTACCTTTACTTTCTTTTATACCCGAATTTTGTGTGTTTGAGGAGAAAACGTCTAGTTTACTTTTTTTTTTCTGGAGGAAACTTGGTTCATGAAAAATCCACTGAGATCCTTCCCTGGGCTCATAGGGTATGTATGAGCTTTGTTGAGAAAGGGTGTGCATATATGTTGGTGGGTGCAGCGAAGCTCGTAGCGTGCACTGACACTCCATGGGGCAGAGCAGAACTGCGCTATGGGGCTTCCATGGCTGTCAGACTCACAGTGACACATCTCTGGATCTTTCTTCAGAACCACTGCTTGTTTTTTAGTAAGCAGTCAGTTGAACGCTTAACCTTTGCGCCACCAGATATGAGTACCCCAAAATCTGGTCATACTTAGTCATTGGCCCCAACTTAAAACGTTATCTATTAAGTTACAAGATTCTTGCAGCTTTGGGGGAGCTAATTTAGGAGTTGCATTGAGTATTTATTTAGTGTTACCTCAAAGACAGCCCTAACGTGTATATAACTTGTCTAACGTATTTGCTCTCAATTTTAAAGTAACAAATAACATTGGTTTAACAGAGGTATGCCATGTGGTATAGAATTAGTTTTTGTTTCTCTGATTTTTTAAGTTAAGCCAAACTTGTTCAGATAGCATTATATCCCCTAAGGCTAAGAAATAGGACAGATTTGAATAAAACAAATTTTAAGCATACTTTTTGATGTCATCTGAAACTTTTACTCAGCATTTTTATTTTATTTAAATAAGTGAAATGAATGCTGTACATTATCAAACCAGCTGTTTAAACAGCTTAGAGCCTACTGCTGAGTTATTTACAAAGGCAGATAATCCACTGCTGACTTGATTATAATTTTGTTAGTGACTTTGACCCGACTTTGTAAACAAACGGATAGGACATAAGCCGTAGAATTTCTTCTGTTTGCTTTATTAAGACTGGCCAAAACTTCAGACTCTCTGCCATCAAGTCCATGCTGTCACATAGCAATCCTGTAGGACAGAGTGGTACTCTGGGATTCCAAGGGTATAAATCTTTACCAGACCAGAAAGCCTCATCTTTTTCTGAGACCTGAAGGGTTCAAACTACTGGCCATTTTTACCAGCCCAGCATGTAACCCACTATGCCACAGGCCTCCTTTCAGACTGACCAGATAGGATACAAAAGTGACACTAGAAAATATCTGTAACAAGCCACTGCTTGGCCTGTAAATTCTGTAAACACAGTTGGATAGTAATCTAGTTTAGTCTTGGAACCGTTTTAAGTTTAGAGCTATGACAGCTTTATACATATAATTATTTTGAGGTTCAAATGAAGTTAAGGCAATGTGACTCTAGGTAGAACTAATGTGGCCTGTCATGTTCCTGTCTACATGAAATACCTTTGATTATTAACCCCACAACCCTTTTTTTTCTTTAATATAGATAAATGGACTTTAGAGCTTTGTGTTCTTTAGTTTATTTCTAAATACATTTTCATAGTGGATAACATAAACTTCTTTTGAGAAATCATGTTTGTATGTAAAGGGATTTATTTTAATTCCCCCCAAGTCGTTTATTTTGTAATAAAAAAGAAAATATGCACACACATAAGCCTGATCTCATCCAACAACCCTCAGACAATGTGAAATGTACAGCTTCTGTTTGTCCCACCTGCGGACTTAGTTCCCAAAGAAGCAGAGATTGTGGGTTCACAGAAATAAGAGGAGCCCTGTATTCTGAAGAGGGGTGAGAGCAGAGGTGGGAACCCCCCTCACCTCCAAGTAAGTGCTTAACACACTCCTCCCCACACCGCCGCCCTGTCTTTCCTTGATTGATGGCACTAAACCTTAGGAGCTGGGATGAGCCATGTTCCCACTTGGTCTCTCCCAGCTCCGGCTCCCCAATTTGAAATCACTGTGAGTTACAGAGGTCAGGTTGGTGGGAGGCCCTTGCAGGAGCTGGCAAGGGCCTCCCAGTGGCATTGCTGGGGTCAGGGATGGCTGTTTTCAGAGCGAGGGATCCAATGTGGAGGCCCTGATGTGAGTCTCCCTGTTGTCCGTGACCTTGCCCTTGATCTGCATCGTCTCCTTCTAAGAAATCATGTTCAAATGTTTACATATTATAGAGAAGTATGATTTTATAATTCGAATTACCATATATATTCGAGTGTAAGCCGACCAGAATATCAGCTGAGGCACCTAATTTTACCACAATAACTGCATTAAAAAATGTGCTGGAAAACTCGGCTTATACTCGAGTATATGCGGTAGTTCTAACATCAATTTGTAAAAAATAACTTGGAAAATGTTATGTGCTGACACATGATAACATTCTGATTTTTTTTTTCTTTTTAAGAAACATTAAAGGAAATCGATGATGTCTATGAAAGATATAAAAAAGAAGATGATTTAAGCCAGAAAAAACGCCTGCAGCAGCATCTCCAGAGAGCATTAATCAATAGTCAAGAATTGGGAGATGAAAAAATTCAGATTGTCACACAAATGCTCGAATTGGTGGAAAACAGGGCAAGACAAATGGAATTACATTCACAGTGTTTCCAAGATCCTGCTGAAAGTGAAAGAACCTCAGATAAAGCAAAGGTGGATTCCAGTCAACCAGAAAGATCTTCGAGAAGACCCCGCAGACAGAGAACCAGTGAAAGCCGTGATTTATGTCACATGACAAATGGGATCGAAGACTGTGATGACCAGCCACCCAAAGAAAAGAAATCTAAGTCAGCCAAGAAAAAGAAACGCTCCAAGGCTAAGCAGGAAAGGGAAGCCTCCCCCGTGGAGTTTGCAGTCGATCCCAATGAACCGACATACTGTTTGTGTAACCAAGTGTCTTACGGCGAAATGATCGGATGTGACAATGAACAGTGTCCAATTGAATGGTTTCACTTTTCGTGTGTTTCACTTACCTATAAACCAAAGGGGAAATGGTATTGTCCAAAGTGTAGGGGAGATAATGAGAAAACAATGGACAAAAGTATGGAAAAGACAAAAAAGGACAGAAGATCGAGGTAGTAAAGGCCATCACATTTTAAAGGGCTGTTTGTCTTTTATATAATTTGTTCACCTTCAGAAAATGTTTTAGGGTAAATGCATAAGACTATGCAATAATTTTTAATCATTAGTATTAATGGTGTATTAAAAGTTGTTGTACTTTGTCTGTGACCTTAATTTTCTGCACTGAATTACCAAATATTTTAAGCCAGGTAGTCTTCAGATCACCTAGTGAAAGGAACAGGGAAGACGGAGAGGGTGGCGTGAATATTATTTTTAAAAAATCATAAACTATGCCTGTTTCATATTCACTTAAAACTATAGTGTTATTTTTGCGGCAAACACCAAAGTATTGCTAGTACATTTTAGTTCTACATACTTTAAAAACTAGATAGTTAGATTTCTCTATAAGCATCAAATTATCTTGGGTAACAAAATATGAATGAATAGCCCATTTAGAGCTTCTTTCTCCCTGCCCCATTCATACATTTATTTGCTCGTCTCTAGTCCTTCCAGAAATGCACTAGAAAAAAGACTCATTTGGGATTCCATATGGAATAATGTGCTCTTATTGGAGGATTTGCTGCTGCATTTTCCTTAGTAGCATTTTGATATTGTCAGTAGCCCATCTGTAAAGATCTTGCTGCGTCTTCATAGATACATTTAAGTGCTTGATAAAGGGATCTGGTTTTTTTTTAATTGGCAGAATAACAAAAAATCTTGCCATTTGGTTTATATTGGCAAAACTTGGGTTATGCAGTATCATGGTTCAAGTTTGAGTGATTTTACTTAATAATTTTTTTCCATGTGACCCACTGCTGGAATATCCAGCTACTGTCCCATTAGTGGAAAAAGGGCATATACTAGTCTTTAAATACCACTTTATGTCAAAAAGTTGTTTTAAATAGTTTTGCTAGTGGTGATAGTGCATTTCTGTTCCAATCAGTGATTAGGCATTATTTTAAATAATAGCATATTTCTTAACTTACTGGTATTGGTGCTGTTTGATGTTTTCACCTTGAATGGACTAATTTCATTATAACAATGCAATTAATGATGCTTTTGTAAGTTGACTTTTCCTAGATGCTAATATTTTAAGGGTCAACATCGTGATAGATAGGTGTCCATGTTTGGAGTTTTTGTTGTTGCTTTGGGGGATGACATCCGATTGGCCGGCCCTTTAGATCTATGTGTAACAAGATCCATTCCTTATTCCCTCCTAATCTGATAATCTTGATTCCTTGATTACCATGTGAAAACTCCTGTCTGTTGTTTCAGGAAAAGAAAAAAAAAAAAGATTTTCCCCTTCTTTGAGCTCTCCTGTGTGACTCTTAGGCATGGCACTTACCTTCTTTGGGCGGCCGTAATGAGGTTGGCTCCAAGGTAGCTCCAAGGCGCTTTTCAAGCTCAGTATTGCACTGTCGTGAGAAGTTTTAAAAATTTAATAATGAAATGACTCACTTGATTTTGTTCTTCCATCTGAAGTATGAAGAAAAAAGCTTAAAGGTGAGCTTACAGATGGGGTCAATACACAATATACTTGGGATATATTGATTGCTGGGTAGAACCAGTTGGCTATAGAACCATTGGCAAATACTAGAAAGTGTAGCTAAGAACTTACTGTAATTTATTAGAGTTATAGTGTAAAGAAATCATTTTCTGAAACATTTGTTTGCATTATTTTAGCTATTTCCCTGACATTATTAAAAATGCCAGTATGTCCAAAGTCAGAGGTAGATATCAGCACATTTTCTTATGTAAATTTGCCTCAGCATATGGAGAAAAAAATCTTCCTTACAGTGCCCAATTTTGGATTAAACTGAACAGGTAAACAAATATGGAAGGTTCCAGAAGGTGTGTTCTCCATGAGATCTAAGGTTTGAAATAGTTTTATTTCTATGAATTTCTTTTTGTTTGTATAGCATTTAGCAAGTAGAAGTCCTAAGTTCACGCAACATTATGACCAGGAGTATTTAAAAAAACAATTTTTGTATTTTAAAATTCTTAATTATTGATCTCAGACACAATGTCATATCATTAACACTCATCCTATATGCCAGTAAACTTATCTCACATTAGAGTTATCTCCAAAGCTTCAAGAAGATGTATACAGACACCTATACGTGGGCCCAACCTTCTAGACAGTCTGGCTTAATTCATTTGGAATATGGCTTTAGTTTTGAATTTTTGAAAGATTCCCATGTGGTTTCAGGATGCAGGAAATTTTTGTAATCACTGCCATATAGCAAAAATCTAAACCTGAAAACTGCTGGTGGAGCCCATCCAGAGTTATACATCTCTTAGGCATAGAGGCTGTGTGCCCTGTACCGTAATTGATGCTGACTCAGGAGCCATACAGGACAAAAGAACCGCCGGCAGTGTTAACCAGGGCCACACAGCCTTTGCAGAAGCAGATTGCCTCCCCTTTCTCCCACGGAGTGAGTGCTGGTAGGTTTGAATTGCCCACCTTTTGGCTCGCAGCTTGCTCCATTTAAGCTTGCTCCAACACAGCTTGTGATTCCTAGGCCTGCTTTGGAGGCTGGGACTGCATTTCTAACAAGATCCGAATTTTCTGATTATGCTGCTGGTTCATGGACCATCCGTCGATCTTTGAGAGAGAATTGGGTCTTGGTTGCTTCAATATTTGAAAAAGGAGCCTTGTCAGAGCTCTTGGGTAAAAAAGCTAGCAGCTCAGAAACAGAAGACTTGCAAGAAGAAAGTGGCCACTCATTGAAGTGCAGATCAAGTAAGATGAGGCCTGAAGATTAACCAGGTGAGCAGCTAATTTGGATGATGAAGCTCTTGCAGTCGATTGTGAGTAGAACGGGGTGGAAAGTTGAGAGTAATATAGACAAATCAAATTTGGATGTAAAAGGGAACAGAAGATACTGGCTTAGGGAGAAGTTAGCTAAGGGAAGATTTTGATTTTTAAGGAGATAGGATGCTGATGGGAATGTTCCATTAGGTAATTAATTACTGTAGGAGGGAAATCCTTGAGTAGGCAGGCAGGTTCTTAAAAAACCCAGAAAACATGTTGCAATCAAGTCTTTTCTGACTCAATGACTCTTTAGGACAGAGTAGAAATGCCCTCTCCGGGTTTCCGAGACTAACTAATGGGACTAGAAGCCTCATCTTTATCCATCAAAGCAGCTGGTGGTTTTGAACTGCTGACTTTGCAGTTAGCAGCCCAATGCACTCTGTCGCCAAGGTTCTTTTAATCTCTAATCATAGGGGCAGTTCATGGTCCGCGTCAACTGAGCAGCATTCTCATTCATTAAGAACTTGAAGGCACTCAGCATCTTCAAAACTCACATTCCATGAGTCCATTCTGACTCAGCATCACTAGAGGGCAAAAATGAGTTTGTATTGGGTAATTCACTGCCGTCTAGGATTCTGGCTTGTGGCAACACCATAGAACAGGGCAAAAGTGCCCCAATGGATTTCTGAGACTAGTAACTTTCCAGGAGTAGAGCCTCACCTTTCTTCCTTGGAGATGCTGGTGGTTTCAAACTGCTGACCCTGCCAACAGGGTTCCTATGTATTGGGTTCTTAACTAAAAAATTAGCAATTTTAGCCCACTGAATTGCACGGCAAAAGAAAGGCCTGGAAACTGCTTCCCTGGAGCCAACAAAACCCTGCAAGCTAAGCTCTCTGCAATTTATGAGATTGCAGTGAGTGTCAAAACGTTTGGCCGTGTGGTGCTTAGATTCTGGAGTGTGTGGGTGTAGCTACAGACCCCAGACCCACTGCTTTCAAGTTGATTCCAACTCAGTGACACTACAATTCTTTACAGTCATAACCTCCTCGTTCTCAAGGAGTGGCTGGTGAGTTTGAACTGCCAACCTTGCCGCTGGTAGTACAACAGTTACTCGACCGCTGCTTCCAGGGCTCCCACATATACAGAGAGGCCTACATTTGGTGGGGAGAAAATGAGATTGTTGTAACAGCCACTTCACTCATCCTACTACCACAGAGTCAGTTCTGATTCATAGTGACCCTGTAGGACAGGGTAGAACTGCCACTGAGTTTCTGAGACAACTGGAGTAGAAAGCCCCATCTTCCATGGAGTGCCTGGTGGTTTCAAACTGCTGACCTTGCAATTATGCAGCCCACCATAAAAGCACTGTACCACAAGGGCTTTGCTAATAACCTAGTTTCCCGATAAAGATTGGAGGTGGTGAGGTCTGATGGGGAAAGGGGGAGCGGACTTGGGGGAATTGGTGAGTTGTCTGAAATCTCACCTAGGAGATTGGGAAAGTGAATGAGCCAGGATTGCCTGCCAGCTGTGGGCTGGTTGGAGATTTCATTATTTCAAGTGAAAACAACTTGTTTTGTTACCAGCAATGCTGTGGGTCAGCTGGAGTTTCGGCTGTTTTAATCATCGCTATCAGTTTTTAGAAGATTGTCTTCTTTCTTTTTTCAGTCATTTTATTGGGGGCTCTTAGAGCTCTCATCACAATGCATACATATGTCTATTGTGCAAAGCACATTTGTAATATGTTGCCATCATTTTCAAAACATTTTCTTTCTACTTGAGCCCTTGGTATCAGCTCATCACACACACACACCCATGAACCCTTGATCATTTATCTTTTTTTTTTCTCAGGTCTTACACCAACCGCTGTCGCCCTTCACCCACTTTTCGGTTGTCCCTCCCCCAGGGAGGAGTTTATATGTAGATCATTGTGATCGGTTCCCCCTTTCTCCCTCCACCTTCCTCTTACCCTCCTGGTATCGCTACTCATTATTGGTCTTGGGTATATCTGCCCTGGATGCCCTGTGTTGCAAGCTCTTATATGTACCAGTGTATATGTCTAGCCGGATTTGTAAGGTGGAATTGGGATCATGATAGTGGGAGGATGAGGTATTAAAGAATTAGAGGAAAGTTGTATGTTTCACTGGTCTATCCTGCACCCTGGCTGGCTCGTCTCTTCCTTCCTTGTGACCCTTCTGTAAGGGGGTGTCCAATTGCTTACAGATGGGCTTTGCGTCTCCACTCCGTGCCCCCAGCTGGACTTTTTGTTCATAATTTCAAACTCTTGTTCTATTGCCAGGACGCAGGTACTCATACAGGCATCCATTTAAAAGGGGAGCCTACAAAGGAGCCTGCTAGGAGCTTTCAGGTAAACCACAGAAATGTGGTACCCCAAAAATAATCTAAAAC